GTGTGTGTGTGTGTGTGTGTGTGTGTGTGTGTGTGTGTGTGTGTGTGTGTGTGTGTTGTGTGTGCGCGCGCAATGTAATGTGAGCCTGTGCACCATGGCCTAGGTAACATTCTGCCATTGTCCTGATGGAATAAAGTTCATCAGTCGGAATTAAGCCTAAGTCGAAGTCGCAGGTGTTGATATGGGGTGGATGAGGAGTGTCTTGTTTGCAAACCATCAGGCAGAATTTGACATAGTCAGCACGCCAAGGCTAAATCGTGGAGCCAAATGCATATGCCATAAAAAATTTCTGCTGGTACATCCCAAAGTGGCRAATCCAGTCAGACAAATTGGTGTGGGCATTCCCGCCGAGCCAAGCTATCACCTTCTCCAAGATCGATTCCATCTCGCCAGTGAGTTCTAGGGACCGCAGCCGGCCCGTGACCCTCAAGAGCTGTTTTCAGACTGCGCCTCAGCTCACACAGGGCTGGAGTCTGAGTGCTGAAAGTACGGCAATCCTTTCATACTGGTCAGGCAGCTGAGAAATGGCCTGAATAGCTGCCGACGCTGTTTTACAATGCACCAGGTAAACACAAGTCCAATCAGCATAAATCCAGAGATCAGAATCCAAATATGTATAAATCTTTAGCATCTTCCAGACACAAGTCAGCCAAGCTAGTTGTCCCAGTCGAACAAAAGGTCCCCCCCCTTGACCTGTTCTCCCATGGAAGAAGTTTTATCCAAAATCTCATTAAGAGACCAGCTAACCAAATCCATAAAAATAAAAATACCATATTCAGAAAAGTATGCAAAGAAAACACTCAGCAAGCTAGACATAACACATAACACACAGCAAGCAGGAAAAATAGGGGAGGTAGGGGAGAACGAAAAATGTGTCCTTCTCCACCGAGGGCAAGAGGAAAAACATACATTAATAATAATAATAATAATAATAATAATAATAATAATAATAATAATAATATGTGTGAGGTAGGTTACCTTTGAACAGTTAAACACAAAAGCAATGTTTCTTATAATCTGTGTTCAACAATGTCTATCTCTCAAAAAGCATGGTGGCTCAAAATTATCTCATGACCACAAGTTTTCACTTTGTGGCCACAAGATAATAACACATGGCCATGAGATTTTTTATATCCAGTGTCACCAGACGGGCTCCGTAGGAACTTTTAGTAGATAAAATAAATAACCTTTATAGACATAATTACACACTTAACAAAAAGTGCAAACAGAAGTGATCACAGAATGTACTTTTTATATTACTGATGTATTTTGTTAAATTTGGGAATTTTTTTAATGAATAAGGAACTATCAATATCTATATTAGATGCCTTTGGAAAAGTTCACTTTATATTTCTGTATGTATTAATTGGCATACATACAGAAAATCTTCAATCAGTCACATTAACTAAAGGTAAGCTCAATTCTCTAAAAGTACTGCTGCAGCCTTCAACAATGAAACAAAAGTAATGTGAAACACGATTAAAGACCAACCTAAGTTTTCATCTTTTCCCACGCAGCTCACTGTGAGTGTCTTCCCATCAATCCAATGTTTCTACAAACATACATGAAACTGTATTAAATGGCAATTTTGACATGACAACTATGCAAGAAAGCATATTTTACTAATTGTTATACTAATAGTTATTTAAATCAAAATCAGTCAATTAAAATCAGTCTAAAGCCATTAATTAGAAACAACTTTGGTTCGAAAGATTTAAAATTCTAGTTTCAGTGCAATAGAGAGCTTTAAACCCAGACTAAAGCATTTTAAGAATGCTGTGTAAAAGTATTATTAGTAAAATTAACGACACGTACCTCTTCCACTACAAGCAACTCACTGGCTTGCCCTGGATTTTCCTTCTTTTGTAGAAAAGGCCTATGTGCTTGGGGGTTTGCATCCTTTAGAATCACTTGATTGAACGGTCCCTCCAAGGCTGTCAAAGAAACTGAGTGAGGGTAGGTCTGAAGGCCTGAATAAACTCCTTGATCCTTCTCCAAAGTCTTTGGACTCGCAGTCTCCAGAGGTCCAGGTTTAACTTCTTTTAATAGCACTTGTGTGTCTGTAAGCCTTGATGGAAGTTGCTGGGACTCAGGCGTCACATTTGCAGCAGGTACAGGCACCGCAAGGCTTTTATTTCTGTGGATTTGATTAAGTGACTTCTTTGATGCTTGCCTCAATAGCATACCCATTCTCTTTCTTTTCTCTTGGGTATCAAGAGACATGTCTTTTCTTGGAGGGACTCTGAGATGATGAGAAGAGCCAGATGTCACCAACAGGGAAAATGCTGTAGTTACTTGCTGGAGAACTTCAATCTGCCTAAAACGATCTGAAGGAGAAAACATATAAGGACATAATGGAAAATTGTATTGCAAGCATAAACAGTGATCATTAATTGGTAAATTGAGGTGTGAACACTGAGGTATTCAATGCTAATACTTACTTTTGAACTGCATGTACAAAAATCAAATCTCATAAGTTCTTGTTTTGGACAGAAGAGTAAAAAAGCCAATTGTCAAACAAAATATACCAACATTAAACAGAGGAAGTGCTCAGGTTTTTCCCATTTAGCCTTATAAAATAATCCAGAGACTGATGTGACCAAAACACCTTACAAGATTAACAATGATATCTTTGGGATGGAGGAAAGTGACATTTAATTTGTTAAGATTAACACAACCTGGATGACTGAAAATTGACATGAATCCACTGCTACAGCTATAACTTACTGCTGATGTCTGGATTTTCAACGTCGAGTCGGTTGTTTTGGGCCTCCAGAAATAACTGAAGGGTTATTCCTCTCGCCTGTGACTGATATCTGAGAAACCGCACTGGAATCCTTCCAGAGAGGTCAGGCTCGTCGCAGCCAAAGCCGAGATCCAAGAGAGCCTCTTCTGGGTCATCATTCCACAGGTTGAACATGTCCATCCTGCTAACTACAGTAAAGACAGAATGCTCAGAGTTACGTGTTACTAACGTACTTAATGAGCTTCATGCTGTATGTATTGATGTATTTATTTCACACAGATAGTCATACAGTTGTTGTTGTAGGTACAAACAGAGTAATCACTTCTTTTAGCTGCATAAAAGTTGCCTTGGGATTTTCAACAAACTGAGTCGTTCAAAGATCCTATCTCCTAAGATAGGTTCATAATGTTTGAAGCAATAGTATTTACAACAATATGGGGGGGGGGGGGGGGTTGACCACATCATAGCACTGAAACTGCTCTAATTAAAATTACTAATAATCTTCTCCTTGCTGCTGACTCATGACCTCTGTCAATACTCATTCTCCTTAAACTGAGCTCTGCCTTTGACACCATCTCTCATCCTATCCTCATCGACCAACTAATCTCTATCAACATTTCAGACACCCCCTGGACTGGTTTAGATCCCATCTTTCTGACCACACTCAGTTCATACAGCTCAAGTCCTTCCACTCCCAGTATTCCCTCATTTCCACTGGTGTTCCCCAAGGTTCTGTACTCGGGACTCTACTTTTCCTAATTTATCTGCTTCCACTTGTCCACATCTTCTGGAAATTTGGTGTCCATTTCCACTCCCATGCCGACGACACTCAGCTTTACATCTCAACAAAACCGAACTCCACCGTACCATCCTCCACTCTTACTGACTGCGTCAGTGAGCTCAATAACTGGTTCTCTAAACCATGACAAAACTGAACTCCTCCTTGTTGGGACAAAAAACTCTATTTCTAAATCCCAACATCTTCTCTTCACGCTTAACAACTCTGTTTATTCCCCCTCGCTTCAGATCAAGAACCTAGGTGTCATCCTTGACACTACACTTTCTTTCACATCCCACATTAACAACGTGACTTGATCTGCATACTTTCATCTTCACAACATTAACCGTCTCCGTCCGTCACTCACTCCCCACTCCACTGCCATCCTTGTACACATTACACCCAGGATCGACTACTGCAACTCCCTTCTGTTTGGCCTCCCCAATAAATCCCTTCATAAACTACAGATGCTTTAGAACTCAGCCGCCCGTGTAATCACTCAAACCTCATCCTCTGCCCACATCACTCCGGTCCTACAACAGCTCCACTGGCTCCCAGTTAAATCCCGCATCATCTTCAAAATTCTCCATCAAAGCTATACACAGTCTTGTCCCTCCTTACCTAACTGACCTCCTGAACACCTCCACACCCTCTCGCTCTCTAAGATCTGCCTCCTCCCTTCAACTCTAAAACCCCCTTGCCCACAACATCACCATGGGGAGCAGAGCTTTCAGCCGCTCTTCTCCACAGCTCTGGAACTCACTACCCCATGGATTACGTWACACCAACTCTCTCCCCCGGTTTAAGACTGGCCTGAAGGCACATCTTTTCAGATTAGCTTATCACTGCTAACTTTGCTAATTGATTGGTTATTGTTCTTTCATATATGACTGTTCTGTACTCCTCGTTTCTGTTTCTCATGCACAGCCCTATTGCTCAATGTATCTACATTTGTTTGTCGCTATTGTACAGTGTCCTTGGGTGTCCTGAAAGGCGCTTTATAAATAAAATGTATTATTATGGGCGGCTGTGGCGGAGTGGTTAGGGAAGTCGTCCTGGAACCGGAAGGTTGCTGGTTTGATCCCCCGTCCAGCCATCTCAGTCGTTGTGTCCTTGGGCAAGACACTTCACCTGCCTTGCCTACTGAGGGTGGTCAGAGGGTCCGGTGGCACCGGTGCATGGCAGCCCCACCTCTGTCAGTGTGCCCCAGGGCAGCTGTAGCTACAATGTAGTTTACCATCATCAGTGTGTGAATGTGTGTGTGCAAGGGTGAATGTCTGTAAGTGTAAAGAGCTTTGGGGACCAGAGGGACTTGATAAAGCGCTCTATAAGTTCAGTACCATTTACCATTATTATTATTATGCATTGTCCACAATCAAGTAACTATGTTACCTTCAGTCAGTTGTTGTGAAAATTCTGTAAATACCAAAAACTTGATTCTAAACGCCTCAAAATTGGCTTCTGTATTGTTAAGAACCTCCTACCATTTCGGACACTCCCACATCAGCACATCTTCACAACAATGCTTCAGGGGATGGGTGCTCTGTGGGGCAGGAGCTCGACTGCAGTCTGAGCTCCAGGGAGAAGTGTTATACAAATAGGAGGTGCTTTGTAGCAACAAGTGTTTAGGCAGCTCCACATGGCTACCAGAGGAGTTTCAAGGATTTCTCAAACACACATGAATGAGTCAAAGCAACACTCTGGGTGTCTTTTTGGTGAGGAAATGACTTGATGAAATGAAATGAAATGAAACAAAACATGATATAAAAAAGTAAATTTTGCATTATACCCCTCCTTTAAAGAACATGTTCAAGTTCTGCACACTTTGAAATCAGTTAGACAGACTGGACCTGGAGACACCAAATAGTCCAAAAGGTCTAGAAGAGAATTTATCACAGTGAATAAACTAAATGAAGTGTCAGGTCTTCAACTGAGATTGTTGGAATTATGTGAGAGAGATAACAAAACAATGTGGGGGAAAACATTATTTTGCACAATGAAGAAAAACAAAACCAATTCTTTTTTTTTTTTACCTGATTCTTGTTGCAGTTCTTCGTTATATAGTGGTGGAGAAGGAGAGTYCAAGGGCTGCTGGTTGGGGTCTAGTGAATACGGAGGCAGCAGGAGAGGAATGATCTGATGTCAGGCTTCTTGGGAAACTCGGGGAAAGCAAAGGCAAGACGAGTAGATCTCCAGAGGTAACAATGTACGTTATTATCCTTCATAATAAAATATTTAAAATAAGGAGTCATAGAAGTGAAGAAATTCACAAGTGGAATGCTTTTTATCCCCTACATCCTTAATCAGGTTGTCATTCTTGAGGTTCCCCTGCAGGCCATCTGTATGGAAGAGAACAGTAACATAAAGGTTACTATAGCAGTCTGCAACAAATTTTTTTTGTTGGCATTACAAATACCTGTACCTTAACCTTAACATTGGCATAAAACAAGAGCCAAATCTTTCATCTGAGTTCACTTGCTAAGGCAACCACAACAACACACACTCGTTTTTGAAACCAGATGACTATCTACACTGTATAAATAGATGTAACCATTTTTCTTCTCATTGTCTGACATTAAATCAGATTAAACCTGCTTTTTCCTTTCAAGGTCACAGTGGAACTGGTGTCTATCTCCAGCAGGATCTGTGCAAGGAATGGGGCACACTCTGGATGATCACAGGTTCATGACAGATTCACATAGAGACAAACAACCATTCRCATTCTCCCTCACACTTAATAACTAATTAAAGTTACCAGTCAACCTAACATGCATGGTGTTGGTCTGTGGGAGAAAAAAGTTGACGAGCTGATCTCTTATGTTTTTTCAATATTTCCATTTAGTGTTCTTGTTTTGAGAGCCCATTTATTTTGTGAAGGTACCTGTCCCTTCTGAAGCAAAACATCCCCACAACATAACACTGCCACCCCCGTGTTTCACAGTTAGGTTGGTGCAAGTTTCCTCCTTTTCACATGAAGTGAAAGTTCACTTCAAACTGAATCATTTGTATTGAGTGGCCAAAAGCCATTATTACTATTAGGTGAAGGCAAAAGGAGAGCATCATAAATGGTCTATTTGCATTTCCCATCATTTCTAAACCACTATTTGCCTGTTTTTTTTTTTGTTTTTTTTTTTGAATAACCTTGCCTCAGGGTGGTGTTTGGACAGGGTTACACAACAGTGCTCACTGACTAAGTTAAATCAAGAAGAAATGACATGTGAACTTTGATTACTTATCACTTCTTTTAACTTTAATTAAAACATGGCCTTTTAAAATCAATTTTGAAGGTGAAGTTATCTAGTAAAAATATACATAAATCTTCCACAGTGTTTTATAGAATGTGTTTTAAAAAATAATATGATGAAGGGGAATAACCCTTCATTAACCCTTCAGTCACAATAAGTCAATGATAATACCCAGTTAAAAAATGTATTGAAACAAAGAGCAGTGCTTGCTGGTACGAAACAGCAGTAAGTACACAGGTCAGACTGAAAACTTATATTCAACTTAAAAAAAACCTTTAGTTAAAGAAGTGTACTCACCATTATTGTAGAAATACAAAAACACCACATGAAGTACTCTAAAAGAAAGAAAAAAGCCTCWACTCTCCTCAAGTAAAACAATATGAAGCACACTGCCTTCAGTCTTACCTCTGAGCCTGTGGGTTTGCCAATGCTTTGCATCTTTTTTGTGCACCATTGCACAACTACACACACGTGCGCATGCACGTGTTTGAATTTCTATCCTTATTAGGACATTGTTTTTACTTCCATTCTTTCCTGTAGCCTAACCATATAGCACCCATAATTCTTCACTCCATTACCTCCTTTATGCTGCATTCTGGTTTCAGCTGTACAGCTAACTTGATACTTTTATCTCCTCCTCTTCCAAAAATCAGGTTTTTAGAGAGACCTTTATTGTCATTGTACAGAGCACAGTGAAATTACAGTTTTACAGTTGATATTGAGGAAATCAAAGTCACCACGCAACTTATCCTTGTCCTCTCCTAAATTTACATTTAGGGGAAAAAAAATGACATGAAACCTCCTGAGACTTGGCATATTAATGTTAATTGGTTTTAAATTATTTAAAGGGAGTAGGTTTTAGGTTTTATTTTTAACTTTAGATAAAACATATAATATAATGTAATATAAAAATCACTTGTTTCTCATTCTCATACGATATATATA